CATTTCATTACAGTCCACAAAATGTTATGGAAAGGCATGCGATTCTGTTCCCGAGTTCAGAAATGCTGGATTTTGAGGGCAATTTCACAACTAAAATGGCGGCCACTCAACAATATTGCATTTTATCACAAATCTTATGCACGCTGTATTTTGAGCATATATGGAGCACAATTCAGTACATTTTTGACCTTTTTTTTTCCAAACAGGGATTGTATATAAACAAATATTATATATGTTAAAAATGATCAAGCGATAAACAACTTACATCTGTTCCCCAAAGTGTCAAAGTGACAACTTTTTCTGAATCATCAACCAAGTGTAGTTCCCTTTTACTCAGCTCTCTGTTTGTGCTGCGTGTTACTATGGTGGATACGTCACTGAAACTTTTACACACTCCAATCACGTCTATGAGAGAATGACATACAAAAACATAGTTAAAACATGGTAGCCCTGCCCTGCTACTATAAATTCTTCTCTGCATCTCTGATAAGACCAAAAAAAAAAAAAAATTGGTTCCGATAATGCACTCTTCCAAAATAGGTTGGCCAGATTTTTTTTTGATCTCTGGCAGCATTTACTTTATGCTAACGTGCTGAGTACCCTTTCCTGATAGGCTCTGCAGATGGCTATATAGAGCGATTTTGCAATATTTTTCCTCTATGGTTGAATCAATTTCAGGTGGGGCAGTGTTATCGGAAGAACATATTCATTTTTTCAAATCTTAGAAGTACATTTGTACACTCACCGACCATTGTGTCTTTAGGTATGTCTTCGAGCTGGCCGATTTGTTTGAAATCAAACTGTACTGTGGGAACATCACTTGCCTCGGCATCATTGCACAACTCGACAACTGTCTCAGAGGTAAATGACATCTCGTAGTCATTTTTAATGGATGTGTATTGTTTATTGGCAGTCTTTAGTGTTCCTCGCGATATTAAATAAACCTGATAACAGTAATACATCAATCATGTTATTACGAAGGTGAAAGAAACAGTAATGTAATTTTTAATGTATTACATTTGACTATCAATCTAGTGATTACACATGCAATGGTAATATCGACCCATGCGTCTATTCATGTTCATTACGTAAGTTTCAGTGATTGCTCCTGAGGTTTCATTTTTATTTAATTTAGTACCGCTTGTTACAAAATATACTTAAACAAATATGACATGCGAAACACTAAAGCTACGTGGAACCATGCTACTAATTACGGTCAAAATTGATGGTGATCTACAGCACAGGTCAGTAAATCTGAGTGTTGTGCTACCCATGGTCATAAAATGCTTTTCATTAACGTGTTAACCTCAATGACATTCAATATCTGGGTAACTGGTTGGACAAAATGACAGAACGTGTAAGTGCTCAACTAATAGGCAGGATTTTTCGTTCACCTCGGGATCTCGCATATTGCGTGAAAAACGCGTACCGAACGTCTGTCACAAAGATCGAACGACGATTCTTGAGAAGGGAATATTGCGCTTTGATATCCTTACTTCATAGAAATTAATCATCAAATGTGTATAGCACATTATTAAGCGGGGAAATAAAATAATGTTTGCGTTTGACGAACCCCACACGATGTTTCGGAAGCCACTACGACACTGTGACCTTTGTTTGTCATGTTTTTTCGTTCGATTTCACACATAATGAAGGATCTCGCCGCCAACAGAAAATGGTCTATTACAATAAAATTACTGTTCACAAGTGGAAACTATTCTAATTCAGACACATATAAATCTATCTGGTACACATCACTATTTTGATGTTGATAGGGAATCAATTAGTTTTCATGTTATTTTACCGATTCACATGAATTTAATTTAGTGAATTTCACATAAATAGCGAAAATAGTAAATAATTCATGTACTAACAGTATCAGATAATTTTGGACATATTTACCTGACCAACTTGCACCATATCAAAGTATTTCTTACATTGGTCATTAAAGGCAGTGGCTCTGATTTCTGCTGAGTCATCGATTAAATCCATAGAGAAGAGACAGCCTTCACCCCGGGAATTGTTCCAATGCCGAATGTTGCCTTTATTAGTTACACGTGCTCTAATTGTCCATCTAAGAAAGAAAAAAAAGATTTTTGATTATTGTAGAAGCCTTTTCATGAATGCAAATGCCCAGAATTTGTTCATTTTTCAATAAACTGTACTTCTGGATATTATGAGGATATAGACTTGGGGGTCACCAGCTTAATTTGAGAAAATTATGCTTGTATTTTTAGTGGATACTGGTATTACCATAAGTTCTGGCCATTTTGACAGTATTACCACAAGTTCTGGCCATTTTGACAGTATTACCACAAGTTCTGGCCATTTTGACAGTTTTACCATAGGCTTCTATGCCAGAGATATTATACCGTATCTCAAATTTTACCCAGGTGACATAGGCTGAAAAAATAATATATTGTTAATGATGGGGTACTTATTGTTGGGTTTTAAATAGGGTCAAAAAATGCAATTTTTCTTTAACATAGTGCTCTATGGAATTGAAAAATATTATTTTTTATTAAAACACACAATAGAATGCTATAAGACAATAACTTCATGGCTTCACATAATAGACCAGACCAGTGCACACTGTCAGGCGATGTATGACCAACTTTCTCAACTTAAGTGTGCAAGCTATACTAGACAACTACTTTCCCCATCTCCCTTGAAAAACGTTTCCAATTAATCATTACTTTAGCTAAAACAATTTGTAAATCGTGATTACCTGTTTTGGTATGGTGTAAGACTGGCAATAGGAAAGACTTTAGACATTCCTCCACTTGGTGTGGTTGGCATCTTTGGCATCTCATTGGCAGCATTGTACGGCATTGTTGTGGTAGGTCGACTACTCATCAACCCACCTATGTGATAACAATGATAACTATTCATAAACATGTCACAAAATGAGTACATTGTTTCAGTATGTGTATATACTATGGGGCATTCTCATAAAATATATTATTTGATCTGATTACTATCAGATATTATTTCTATATTAAGGATGTATGCTACAAAATAAAAAAACCATGGAAAATACTACAGGTGTACAGGACATGTTACTCTAAACTCATAGAAAAGAAAAAAACATGGGGATAATGTACTAATTTTTAAGATACACAACTCACAATTATGCTGAGTTAGCATT